AAGGTGAAGACTCAGAAAGCTAGGAAGGCGTCACTGCTTTCTGTGTACACGTGTGACTTCATCCCCACCTTTGCCATTTGGGGATGTGTAAGATGATCTGAAACACCTCCTACATATCAGTACTGTACATTTTGAAATACTGACTACTCCACGCTGTGTATGCCATATGGTGCACATTGTAACTGAACATTGCATCTTCCATACTTTGAAGGGCAACATAAAAGCATTAAAAGTGAAGTTTACCAGACAGATGTGCACATCTGCGTGTGACCTACTCATGTAGTCAGCCTTTCTAGTCAGTGGAAATAAATGGACAATTCTGGCACAGGATTTGTCTTTTTGTGCTAAAGTGGAGGATTTTACCCTCTAAAAGATCATTTCTTTCACAGACTTCTAGTGGAATGTAAAACCAGTTGCATAGCTCTAGACATCAAGAATTAAGTACCTGTAATCTACATTTTTGTATTATTCCTAGCATTGTTATTAACAGCTGCAGAACACTCTTCACATATGTTGTCCTTTAGGTAGTGGAGTGCAGCAATACATGAAATGTGAAGCTTAATAAGGGTTAGATTTCATCTTACAGTGAACAAACAACATTCCGTTTAATGTATTTTCTGGCAGCTGGCTGGAACCCTGGAAATATAATTTGGACAATGGAAGTGCTGCCATTTTATTTCAATGTGAATTAGATGAGTGAGCTGGTGAGACATTTTCTGCTCAGTTTAAAACCCATCTGGGCAAATGCTGGAATAGATAATAGAAGGGAAAGGTTGAAACTCCCCTGCATTAAAAATATTCTTTAAAATTCAGTTATACTTTTACTGCACTGCAGTAGTTGCCAAAATGCTCTTGGACAGGGGGATTTCTAGACCTCAGCAGGAACAAATCCATCTACTGCCACTGAAGTCAGCCTGTGAATTTAAATTTGTCAGCTGACCTGTTACTATTTCCTCGAGCCAATTCTTCTCAGTGGGTTGCATTTTTATCTGCTGATAATTAACATCATTAGGAACTGGAATGTGAAAAATTACCTAACACATATTTAAAAAGAATAATCAGATATTTATACAAAATATGAAAAACAGTGTGATTTATTTTTTTATTTGGGAAAATTTTAAAAGTGAAAATCACTTTGCAGTGAAGAGACAAAAGCACATGTTGAATACATGCCTATTCAAACCCTGTAAAGCAGTGTTGAAGGATGTTACTGATGAGAAGTTCTCTTTTTAGCAGTTGTTTTGTAAAGAGAGCACTAAGCATGAGTACTCTGCGTGGTCTGCTTGGCTTTGGTGACTGAGTATATTGAGCGTAAAGGCAGCGCATGACATCTTAATCTAAATATTTAAACTCCTTCAAAGAGTCTTGGATTCTGTAGCAATACAGACTGATTTCTAATCTCCTTTCTCAGTTATATCCTCCTTTTAGCACATAAACCTATAAGCCTCAAATGGTGCATTCTCATCTCGTTGACTATAGCGTTATAGAACAGTTTGAGTTGGAAGTGACCTTAAAGATGATGAAAGGGATGAAGATGATCAACAGGCATGCCACTCACTAGATCAAGTCCCCCAGGGCCCCATTCAATCTGGCCTTAAACACTCCCAGAGATGGGGCATCTACAAGCTCTCTGGGCAACCTGTTAACCACCCTCTGAGTAATGATTTTCTTCTTAACATCTAATCTAAACCTGCCTGCTTTCTCTCATTGTCCCTTGTACTGTCTCTATCTGCCTATATGAAAAGTCCCTCTCCCTATTTTTAAAAAAGCCTCTTTAAGGTACTGAAAGGCCGCAGTGAGGTCTCCCCCAAGTTTTCTCTTCTCTGTGAACTACCTTACTTTACAAATAAGTATGTCTGGACCTTATTAAGAACAAAAATACTAACTGAAAACTCAGGAATTAATGACTATTTAGTCAGAGTTAGGTAGAAGATATATACCAGTGAGACAGACTAGTAATATTTCTGTCAATTTACAGTAATAATACATCTGTAGGTCAAACTTATCTGTCTGTGTCTAGTGCAAACTGGGAATCATTTAATCAAAGAAAACCTTTCTGGTTTATGATGTCACAACAGGATTTGGTTTGATCCTCTCAATAGAGGAAAAAATGTGTCTAGAGTTAGCTCCTAAATTCACTTCTGTGTTTGAAGTGCATCATAATAAAGTCAGATGTAAGAAGGGAATCAACACATCTTGTGATTTTATCACTAATTTAATCCCTAGTCTCATTTTTAATAGGACTTTTTTTCTTTCTAACTCCTTTTCTCAATTTCCTTGTTACATGCTTATAAAAACTTTCTTAAGCTTTCTTACTTCTTACTCTCCAGTTGGCTGGTAGAAACTCATTCTGGGTTTTGCATCTCATAATCTCCCCCCAACCCTAAACAAGGCAGGCTCTTCCCTTTCTCCATTTGCAAGATTGTCTTTTGAGCAGCCCCTAGTGATGCCACATTGACTATATCTTGTTTCTGCATTCTTCTTTTAACAGCGAGGATGCAGCATTGTGATGTGTTTTAAGATGCTTATCAAAGAAAAAGCAGTTTACATTTTTGTGTTTATAGCACCTAATATATATTTAGTTTGGGCAAAGGGCTTTGGAAAGCACTCATTAGACATGGAATTCTCTAAATATTTTACTTTTATTTCTGTTTTATTTTAATTATTTTTAAAGGAAGTTTTATAACTAAGTGGTGTATTTGGCATGCAACCAGTTAGCTGAGGCTTTAGACAAGGCCAGCTCCTAAGGACCCTGGTATTTACATTTAGTTTTTCTGGTTTAGTTTAAAAGGAAGAAAATGGGTCCTTCAGAAAATAATTTTGCATTCTGCATATGCTGTTTAACAATTAACCACATGTACATTTAAAGAAAGCCAAATGCACTAGCAGATAGGAGTGCTAACATACGTTAATAGGTTAATAGGATGTTTTCTCACCTCATACTGATGTATTTCCAGAATTCTTGTTTGCATGCTTGTGTGAGAAGTTAGGCAAATTTTTGCTTTTGGGACACAGCATGAGATGTAGAGAGAGTGCAATACCTTTGCAGTGGGAGTAGAGTGAAATCTTTCCACAGTCCTAGGTTTTGCAGTGGTTTCATGTCTTTGTTTTTGTGAGTCTGTAGGTACATGCAGACAATTTGTCTCAGTGCTTTTGGTGCATACTGCTAGCTAAACTGTTGTAACCATAGTACTTAGCTATTGCTGAAGCTGCACTGAAGCTGTCCCTTTTACCCATTCCCTTTGCAGAAGGAGAACACCTGTGGAGGTGAGGCAGCATCTTTTTTATGCATTTTGAATATTAAAAAATTCAAGAATCACATAGTTAAAAATGGACCTGTTCCATTTTCCAATGCATAGTGTATTTGTTGGTATTAATGTCTTTTTAATAAATTGGGTTTTTTAAATTTCATGTGAAAATTTTGATTAAAAATAAATATAAAATATATTTTAACCAAAACATCTTGGCTAGCTGCCTACAGATAAACCATCCAAGAAAATTTGACAGAGGCAGGCTTTATCAAAACGTGCCCCCCTTTCAATAGTTTATATGCATTTAAAACTAAGGCAGCACATGACCCTCAGGTGTGTGAGAAATGAAAAGGCAACTCTGTAATGGTTGGCCTATTTAATGACATCCAAGTTTTCCTGTGCTTGTAATTTTGTTGCTCAAAATTTAACGGCAACTTTATACCCTTTTTAAAGAAATCAGGACTTCCTGTTTGGCACTCTGTAGAAGTCCTTCATCAGTGGCAAAATTCTGTTTTTCTGACTATTATCCCTCCAAAGTTATCATCTGTAAGAATCAAGGACTCTAAAGGATCTTGCTCAAACATGACAAGAAGCTCTGCCTGTTTGCCTCTCTGCTGGGACCGACTTCATAATGGCTGTAGGACAAGATTTCTGTGCTGCTCATGCATGGCAGCTCTGCACTGCAGAACAGAAACCTGTATTGGCCATCCACAACCTTGCATACAGTGTTCCAATTTAGGTACAAAGTTAAGAGAGTGAAGGTTCAGAATTCCATACCCATGCACTTCAGAATACTTCACAGAGGCCAGCACTGAACTTTGCAGATTTTAACTGCAAGCAAAGCAGTTGAATGATTTGGTTTGAAAGGAAAAAAAGTATTCACAATGAAAATTACACTCATCTCAACTGAAGTTGATCCATTCACTTACAGAACAAACTGATAATAATTCAGACAGATCATATGCATATGTGAACGAGGGCACAAATTACAAACATAAATAGCATATGTTCATTGACGTGTTGCCATGGAAAAAAACAAACAGGTTTGGGTGTTGCGTTACAGGTCTTGCCTACCAATTCAAGACTAATACCAAGGCAGTGAATCCCATCTCATCAGAGCCAGGCACAGAGGAAGATTTGCCCACCAAAAAGGCCGACCCACGGCTGCGCTCCTCTGGCTGTCACTGATAAAGCGTGACCGTGGAGCTAATGGCGTCTTGTTTAAAGCCCAGCAGCTCCGAGGCAACTCAGTCAGCAGTGCCCTTGCTTGGCATTATTCCTTGTTGTGATTTTCATTATGAGAGCTTGTAATCTAAAAAACATAAACTTTTTGGTGTGTGTATGAAAAGTTAAAGCCATCACCGAATACTCTTGCGATTCAGTGAAATAGACAAAGTGCGAAGCAAACGCTGAACACGTTCTTCGTTTTTCTTATTGCCGTGCCGCACTTGCCACACCGCAGCCTCGGGGCGCGGCAGTTCGCCCGCGGCAGCTGACCCGGGGCCGAAAGGGCAGCGACTTTTCTTTAATCGACGGATTTCTCAGCGCCGCCTTCACACAGACGGCAGCCTGCCCGCAGGACGCTGGTTTCCCACACCCGCGGCGTGAGGAAGCGCGCAGCGCTGCGCAGCGGGCGCGGCTCGGCTCCCGCGGGGCTCCCGGGCCGGGAGGCGGCGCACGGCCCCGCCGGGCCGCAGGAAGCGCTGCCGTCACCCGGCCCTGCCCCGCTGCGCTGCCCCAGGAGGCTGGGCCGCGCCGGGCCGCCCCGCTCCGCCTCGGTGTTGTCTCCAGAAGGGATGCGGCGGCCAGCGCCATGAGCTGGCGGTCCGGCTCCCGCGGCGTGGTCCTCACCGCCTACCACCCCAGCGGCGGGGCCGGCGACGCGCCCGGCGGGTGAGTGGGGCGCGGGCGGGCGGCAGGAGGCGCGGAGGGCGCTGCCCGCGGCAGGTGCGCTCGGCGCTCGGCGCTCGGGGCGGCTCCGCTGCCGCGCCGCGGAGGAGGAGCGCAGCCGGCTCAGCGGGGACCTGCTGCGCGGGAGAAGGGGTTTTCTCCGGCCCCGGGGCTAAAGGGTTTGCCCAGTTTTCCGCTGTGTCCCGTAACTCCCAAACGGTTTTTCCGTAGTTGGTTTGGGTTTTTTCCCACCGCTTTCTTGGATACGCTCCGCGCGTCGAGGAAACCCCGGGAGTTTTGCTGGTCTGCCGAGAGCTGAGTGCAAACGGCAGCCGCCGGCTGTTGTTAAGGCGTTTGTATCCAAGAAAATCCCGTGGCCGCCCCGGGTGCGGTGTCGGTGTTAAGCCCGAGCTATTCTGGCCGGTGTGGTTTTGGGCTCGGAGAGGGGGGGTTTGTGGGTCGCAGCGGTGACTGCTGTCCCGTGGCCGCGGGGGCACTGGACGTCAGAGATTTTGGGATCAGACTATCGGTGGGATGCTGTGCATATCCTTGGGGTTTGCAACTTTGCATCTTGCATCTTTGTAACTTGCTTTTTTTTTTTTTTTTTTTTTTTTTTTTTTTTTTTGGCCTTTTCATGTGATAAGCGGGACGAAGGGGTAGATAATAATGCGACAAACTTTAAAAGCATTTGTCATTGAAACTGATAATGGACAAGAAGCTGGTTTCACATACAGCTTGATATAGGCAGAAGTCACTGCTGGCTTTTCCATAGCAATGACCAGAGGGACTACTGTATGATGGACTGACTTGTGTTTATGGCCCATTCAGTCTTGCCTCTTCCTTGCTGAAATTGTCAACAAAGATCCCATTGATAAAGATGGGACTTTTAATAATGCTGAGAAGCCAGCTGAAACTGGGAAGGTATTGAAACTGGTACACTGTTTCCATGTGTGCATAGGAAGAGCGTGTGTGATCAAAGAGATAATAGTCTGATTAAAAGAAGATACCAGGCAGTACAGTGGGTTGCCCTGGAGAAAAGATAACTATGACCTATCACACCAAGAGTCCACAGCAAAAGCAAGGATTAAACTGAGAAATACTTCCTACCCTATGTTAGAACCACAGAGTTGTCTTTTGATTGAGGTACTTCCTTCTCCATAACTAATGTTATTTATCAGCCTCACTTGAAGTCCTGATGTCATCTTAGCTACACTTATAAGGGCCCTGCAGACCTGGCCATTTCCAATGGAATACAAAATATGTATATGTTTTCAAGAAGTCACAGAATCCAAAAACTTCTCTGTTATTGTTTGTGGTGTTCCTTTGCCTCTCATAACTCCCATCAAACTCCCCATGGATGTGGAGAGATAAGTTAAAAAAGTGCTCTCCCTGCTCCTAGGGATAACTTCTAAGTAAAGATCTGTGTTTCTGTAGACTGTTATGATTGGTTCCCCTTTTTTAACATGTAGCTGTCTGGACACATGGCTCTAAGCAGCAGACTCTTAGCCCCTAGAGGCCCAGGACACATGAGCACAGTCCCTCTCTGTGTCTTAAGAAACTTGTCTCCTGTGCTAATGCCACACCATTAGGAACAGCAATCTCATGAAATTCCAGCTCCTCTGCAGCTGCTTCTGCAGACAGCTTCCTGGGTAAGCTGGGACATTGCCAAGCAAGTAACAGCAGTCCTTCACAAATTCTTTTGGTCTGGGATTAAGAGAAGGGAAAATAAATGGGAAAAGTGGTCTCATTTCCGTAATTACAGCAAACAAATATGTGCATGTTTCAGCTGTGCAGAGCAGAGGATTCCCACAATTAGTTTGCCTGAGTTCCACCACAGTAGTAGTGCATTTTTGCAGGCCATGTGCATATGGCACTTTGCTCATTACACTAAAATCATAAGTACCTCTCTGCCTTTCTCCTGTGCTGCTCTAAATTTGAACCTTAGGTCTGTTTCTGCTCTTTTTATTAACAAGGACCTCAACCCAATGGTCCTGGTTGACCCTCTCCCTTCTGCTGTGCATCCCCAGTGTCATCCCACTTCGGGAACAGAGCGGGAGGGGAGTGGCCACTTTTGGTTCTCTTTTGGTCTTTTTAGAAACAAACAAACAAAAATTTCCTGAACTGTTGTAACATTTCTGTGGGATTTCTCTCCCATGCGCTTCCCCCTGTTTTTCTAGCTATTTTCCTTCTTCATCAACATTCCCAAGGTGTGCAGAGATGCATGATACTAATGATATGCCTAAACCCATATAGTTCTGAAATATTTAATGGAAATATTCTCTTCTGTTAGGCTTTTCACACTGTGCAAGTGGACCAGTTCTGCAGTCCAGATTTTGTATTTTGTTGCTGATGTGAAATTGAGCTTACTTTGCCTTAAAAAAAATAACAAAATTAGAACGATTTCAATATCTAAGTTAGCATCTTGCTACTAATTTGAAAACTGTGTAAATTTTAACAGGGATCAGAATACTAGGAAGCCAGTATAATATGGTACCAGCTGTAATGAAGCAGCCCTTTTGGAAAGATTAAGAGAGAAACTATGTTGAATTATTTTTTTAATAGGCATTTAAAACAGTGTGTGTTAGAAATTGCTTTATCTTTGGAGGGAAGTGTGACACTGGTACCTCCTGGAAAAAGCAGAATGTTGGCTGTGCTCCAAACAAAGTGACATCGTAGGAAAGAAAGAGCTGTTCTTCCTACCCATGTTTTTTCCTTCAGGCATATGAGAACTCTTGCTTCATAAGACTTAAAATTTTACTGGTCTAATAGATTGTTGAGCTACTTGTCTATTCTGAGGTATTTTTGGCCCTTTAAAGGCACAATGAGTCTGTGAAATACTTTTTTTGGAAAGGGAAGTCTTACCATTGGTTCAGTAGGCTAAAATCTAGAACAGCCTCAGTGTGATTACTTCCAAGTTTGTCAATTTAGGAATATTGCCTTAACAGTAGTGATGCATAAAATATCATCAGAGCTGCTGTCTTTGCATAGAGAAGTTTATTTTGCTGTAATGTAGCAGTTAAAGGATTATATGGTGTATTGGTATTGCGCATTGGTATTGGTTTGAGTGATTTCTGTGGTCTACCCAAATATTTATTAAGTTTGAAAACTTTCTTGGAGAAATCAAAATGGTAGGATACACAGTATTCAGTTTTAATAACATTAAATTTTAATAGTAACTCTCTTTTCCATATTGCCTTAATTCACTTACTTTTAAGTTTTAACCTGTTAGATTCAGTAATGTCCTATTGGCTGTCCTGCTACTTGCATTTTGGTGTCATCTACTTTTCTTCATGCTTATCCATGCACAAAATTTTAAATAATTTGTCTTTCTGTGGAACCATTTGTTATTATTTGGGCTGAGGAAACCAAGAGCAAATCAGATAGGTTTCAGTCCAAAACTGTTTCAGTGACTGACTGTAAGCATTTCACCCTTGTACATGAAAAATCCAAACCTGTAAGCATGGGTTTCCAGTGCCATTTAGGTTCCTCAGGAATTTTACCCCATCTCCTTTGGCAGAAAGCACCACAGGTCCTGTGTCATATTTGCCAGCCAATACATATCAGTGTTTTAGATATTCTCCTCATATGGCTGTGTGGGCTTACCCTCAGGAATCAAATGCCATCCAGAGAGTCTTCTACAGGACTATTTCTGTCCTGAAGAGTGAGTGAATGTGTGTGTGTATGCAAAAATGTTTTTTGAATGTGATTATAAGGCTGAGACCAAGCCTGGAGTATCCAGTGCATGAGGAATAGATTTCTAAAAGTGAGAGGAATAAATTTCTAAAAGTGAATGCATGCAGTGTGCATGCAGAAATAACTGAACTGCGCCGACACACCAGTGCATGAGGCAAATAAACTTCTGCTGCATGGCATTTTCAAGAGCCGAGCCTAAATTGCAAATAGAGTAATAGATAAATGATTCTGAATATGTTGGCCACTGGAGGTAGAGTTGTTTTCCTCTCCATACCTCTCTCCTATTTGGGATGCTACTGTTCAGTGTTGTCTCCTGTGCTACACCAGCTTGTCATGAGACAGTCTCCCTGTGTCTGTTTCCAGTGAGTCACCGTGCTTGCTCACCAGCATGTGCACTTTGCTGCCACTTCAGTGCACTGCATTAACTTACATTGGAGGACCAGTTTCCATTCTGAAGCTTTGCAAGTCAGTGCCTGTTCAACTTAATATATTTCCAAAGAGCTTGTAAATCTTTGTATTGCTGATAATTTAATAAAGACTCCAATGTTTCACAGAGCCTAGGACATGTCTGCTCCTCCTCAGAGGCTCTGCAGTTCTGCGCACTCTCTCTTCTTTGCCTTTTTTAAATCTTGCATTTAGTTTGCTGATACTAATCTAAATGCAAGATTTAACTCATTTTGCTGATACTAAACTAAATGCAAGTTTAGAGAACAATGACTTGAGTTTCTCTGAGATGGAACTAAACCCTGAGCCAGTTCTGGAATAGAGTGTTGTAAGAGAGAGGATTGCTGCCACCTCAGATCTCCTTTTTTGAGTGGCACCTGCTATTTGGGGCTTGCAGCCTTTGGGCTTCACTGTCCTGCTTTGTTGCTGAATCTACCTGACTCTGGGAGATACCAGCTGAAGCTTGAGTCTGTGTGGCAGTGAAACTAGGCAGTCTCAGTTGGGTTTTGTTGTAGAGAAGTGCCCCTTTTTGTGGGTTAGTGTATAAGTCTGCTTAAACATGTAAACATGGGCTTTACAGACTTAATAGTGGTAGCATGTGTTCAACTTTGGGGACAAGCAAGGGACATAAAATATTTGGTGTTTTCTACAGACAACTGTAGTCTAAATCACTCGCTGCTTGATCTCTTAGTAAGAAACTCAAATTACAGATGTCCTTTGAGCATGGAGAAATAACAGATTTCTGTTGTGAATTGCCCACAAGATATGCTTTTTTCGAACATTGACAATAGTTGATGTTGAAGATCAACCATGCAAGTGGAGTTTATTCTTTCCTTACTGGAATAATCTGCCTGATTCTTTGTTCA